GCTTCGGAACGGCATGTCGCTTCTCGATGAAGCTGCTACTGTCAAATTTCGTAATTGCGATATATCGCAATTCGGAATTCCCAATTTGCAAATTTGCAATTAAACTAAAAATTACATAAGTATTTTCCGTAGAAATTATCCATGCATTACGAATTGATACAAAATTTTTAAAAGGCAGAATTATCTTTGGAAATTGGAATTCGAGAAACTCTGTTAATTCGAACATAGTTCTATAAGCTCCGAAACAATGCAGGAAGGGTGCCGGAGGAATCATAGTGTGTTTGTGCGACGGTGGTAGTACTACGTAACGTGCGCGGCTATCGGGGAAGAACAATAAGGCAATCTTGACATTCGGTTCCCAACGAGTCGCTGTAGCGTGAAGCGTCACCGGAAGTTCGCCGTGTGCCCTCACTAATTGCACCCGCGACTTCACATGACCCCACCTTCCACTATTTTACTCAGTATATTCACTCAAGAAGATTCACTATACCGGGCACGACCAGGGCGTTCCAGATCTGCTTATACGTAGATCTTTTAAAAATGCGCATGGAAATTAATGGGTTGTTGAACTTTTTGGTTCAGAGCGTTTGATTTGAGAGGCGGAGTTGATTTTCGGACAAGCTAATTTAAAATTTTATTAAAATCGACTCAAAATTTGTAACACAAAATAAAATTTGATTTTGTTATTTATTTCCATACGTAAGACTCGCGAAAAATCTTTTATTTTTGATCGTTTATATAACTCAGAAGCTATAAACAATTTGATTTTTTTATAAGCGATAAATAAATTCCAATTAAAAAACGCTTACAAAATACAAAGTTTTCATTTAAAAAATACACTGTGCTCTAAAAATTTTTTAATATATATTATATAAAACTGCTTGAAGTTTTTAATTTATAAAGCTCGTGCTGCTTCTCACGAAATAACTAACGATAATATGGATTATATGTATACTTTGCTCGGTATAATTTTTTCCAGTTCCCACACATTATTATTTGCTATGCGTCATTAAGCCCAGTTCTGCGCATATAATTTCGTTTTATAATTTGATCATATAGAATGTAAAGTTGTAATCAGATATCACCCAACATTGCGATTGTCCGAGTTCTATTTCGAGAGAAAATAATACTGCAATTAATTAATTTCTCGTATTATATAATATATTATATATATTTAATTATTTTTCATTAAGGGGTAGCCCTCTTTTAACTTCAAAAATAACTCTTCTAACGGTACGCATTTTTTGCAGAATCTTAGAAGTAAATGGAAAACTGGTGGTAGGAGCGGGTAGAAGCGATTTGGCGCGGCTTCTGGCCGTTGCACCTGACGCTGCGCAAATAGTAGTCCTGCGAAAAGGCGAGTCCCTGGCGGCATTGCGCACGTTACGCTCCGATAATCTCAGACTAACGCACAGGATCGGTTATCTCGAGGAACAAGTCAGAGATCTCTTGGCGCCGAGCAGAACCGAAGTCCCCATCGAAGAGCCATCGCCGAATCGTCAAGAGCATGTACAGGTAACTTGCTGGCGTATTCCAGATAGTTTCTGTGAAATTAATCAGCGTAGAAACTTGGAATAAACATCCGTATCAATGAGCGGAAGTTTATTAAATTTTAATTACACTTTGACACCGACATCAAAATTCTATTTTTGTATATTTATTATATAAATTATATTATGTTTATAGAAAGATTTTAAAAAATATCTCACAGGAGAAGAAAAAAACTTGGTAAGTTAATATCATAGCTATAATGAATGGATATATGTAACAATGTTCAGAAAAGATTATATTATTATTATAAATTATAATTAATCAAAAAATATTAAAAAGGTGTAAAAAGATTCCTTTCATTTACCATCTAAAATATATATATATGTCAATTAAATTATAAATACTTTGACAAGCTTGATAAATTTTCTCATAAAATGTTAAGAAAAAAGTCGCCCATTAAGTGAAATTAGTGGCTAATAAGTGTCAAACATAATGATTTCATAAATTAAAATTCTGGATTGCAGGTTTTCCAAAAAGGCCCTCAAGTAACGGCGTTAGTGGCGAATTTACCTGGTCTCAATGTGAGAAGTTGTACGGAACTACGGCAGAGTTTGCCGACTGTCAGAAGTAGACACAGTGATCATTCTAGACGTCTAACAGATTCTAGAAACCAGCGAGAGCTCGATTTTTCGTCCGATGGCGTTTCGAACGGTCATCACAAATCACGAAATAAGCAAAAACATCAAGGATTACAGCTGGCCAGATCAACGGCCAGCCTCGACTGTAAGCAGTCGCTGATGCAGTCGCAGGTGCAACGTCGAAGGTCGCCGCGCGCCGAATCTGCTATAGAGCATTTGCATAAAAGTCGCAAAAGCGTCTCGCAATTGCAGTCTTTAGAGTTTGACTCTGAGCCGACTTACTATCGCTTACAGGTATATTTCGCATCATATATAATGATGTATGTATGTATGTAGCACTTGAAGAGTTCGATACAAAATTCGAGTTTTTTCTTAAAATTTAAAAATTCTTCAAATCGTTATATACAAATAATTGAATCCTGATTCCTAAATGCTAGTAATTGAATCTTGATTCATCTCCTTTCCATTGATACATTCATTTGATAAACAAAAGGATTGATAAAAAGATGTTTAATGTATAAAATATTCAATATAAAATCTTATTTTCACAAGTTTATATGTATATTAGACTGTAGTGGGAAAGTTTTTTCGTTTTTTTTTTTTTACATTAAAAGAGAGAGAGCATATGCGAAAACGAAAGTACTTTTACACCAATCTAGGTATATTTCGCATCATATATAATGATGTATGTATGTATGTAGCACTTGAAGAGTTCGATACAAAATTCGAGTTTTTTCTTAAAATTTAAAAATTCTTCAAATCGTTATATACAAATAATTGAATCCTGATTCCTAAATGCTAGTAATTGAATCTTGATTCATCTCCTTTCCATTGATACATTCATTTGATAAACAAAAGGATTGATAAAAAGATGTTTAATGTATAAAATATTCAATATAAAATCTTATTTTCACAAGTTTATATGTATATTAGACTGTAGTGGGAAAGTTTTTTCGTTTTTTTTTTTTTACATTAAAAGAGAGAGAGCATATGCGAAAAACGAAAGTACTTTTACACCAATCTAATATATAACAGTACCTCATATTCAATGATTCAAATTTTATTTGATACCTATATGGTGTATCTATATGAATAATATCCTCATTTTAGGATTCTCAGTCTCGCGCGTCAGAGAATTCGGAAGCATCGGTAGCATATGCTAGCTCCCAGGAGACGAAGACTCGCCCGGCACCGCCGAAGAAGCCGTTGCGACTCTCCCTGCATCGTGCAGCGAGTCTCCAGTCTGTGGAAAGCGCGCCACCGACCGCATCGCAGCATGACATGGCCCGAAAGCCAACAAAAAGAAACCATCGCGGCGATCCACCGTTGGAGAAGAGCATACCTCGACATCTCGAAGCGAATGGCGGGGATATGAATTCAAACTTGCAAGAATCTCTCGTTAGCCCGCCTCAACCGCCTCCAAGAACACCCTCCAGAGCGGAATCGTGTCAAAGTGCATTACGATGGCCTTCTCCAAAGCCGAGACCGCATTTGACATCCGTACCAATGGAGAAATGGTGCTAAACGCTACGAATCTGCATTTCTCGGACGGATAAAAGAGAAGGAGAGAAGGAGAAAAGAAGAATAAGCGGAAGTGTTCTCTGAAACGATAATTCTGAGGGCATATATCAAATTTATATAATAAATAATGCAGTTACTTTTCTATCACCTCGATATTACGATAATTTGCAAAGTTGATATCAATGATATAGATGAGAATGTACAAAGATATATCTAATGAAACCTTGTGTGATATATGCCATTCCATAGCTTGGAAATGATTATATCACGAAATGGTAACGCATATTGAGATAGACTTCGATTTATGCGCCTGCTTTATTAAATTTGATGACTAGCACATTCTATCGATGTTTATAATCAAGATTAGTTCTAAGTATATGGTAAAACGCGTTTGTACGTTATATTATGATACATTATATCAAGGGCATGTCATGTTGCAAGGATAAAATCTAAGATTGATATCTATGAAGAAAAATTATCTTTTCCTATAAAAAATCTGTTACGTTTATTTTTTTGTAACACAAAATATTTATATCGCCCAAGAAAATGAAAAAAAAAAAACGTAAGACTGAAATCCATAGATTGTGGATAAATCACATTATTACAGCCAGAACCCGGCATTTGGACAAATCTAGTGACAAATAGATTAAACATCTATGAAATGCACATTTGAGATCTCATTGACTTATGTTTTGTATATACATATATTAAAATTTTCAAAAATTCTACTTCAGTCAATCTCTATTGGGCAATATATAAATACAATTTATTATAATTGGTAAATAATATTATTTAATGATCTTAAACATATAGAGAGGATTATAAATTTTTTAATTAATGGAAAGCACTAAAATAAATGCTTGTGATCACTAAAATTAATTTATCATTGGATGTATATCTCAGCAATCTAACATGCATCACGCATGTATCAAACATCACAATCATTACATATCATACATGTGTTTACAATTCTTGTCATCCTTATGGGTTCAATAATGTAATTTAATTATTCAAATTTCCCAAGAAAAGCATATATAGATAATATTTGCTAATATAATTCTGTATATAAAGATGGCAAATAAATCCAATATTGCAATTTTATAATAAAATTAACGTTATAGTAAGATTTATAATGTAATTCTATGATTATATATTGCTCTAAGTGTATAAATGTATAAAGTATTACAGCCTCTAATTTTGAAGTAGAAAAATAGAGAAATGTTTGAGTATGATACCTCTCACAAATATCCTGTATTTGAAAATAATTATTCTGCAACTGCATATTAATAATGAAAAAAAGATTGATTAATGCTGTGTGAAAATGAAATCTTATACAAAGTATGTTAAACGTTTTAACATTAAAATGCATGTTTATGATCTTTATTTTTAGCATCAATACTGTTACAGACTAAGAATGCATATATAGTGGTTTATAAGTTCTTTTTTTACATTTTTGTAAAATAGTAATAAGTTACTGTGCAAAAATAAATTTTCGTTTCTTAAAATTGCTAGTCCTAGCACTACTTATGACAAAGTATTCGAGGAACTATGTGCATCAATATGTTGTACAGTGTTGTATGCAATGTACAACATATTTAGATTGAATATGGACTATAATATACATTCTATTTTGTAAGTATCTAAATAAAACAATGTTTCTAGAGAAATTATTTTGACACAATATTTCCAGAATTGATAAAACTACAAAAAGTAGTTTATATATAATGAAAAAAACGCATAATAAAAATATATAAATGTTTATTAAAAAACAATAGAATATAATCAATTATTTCGATACACATACGCGGCAAAGTTTTGCCACGAGACCGTGTAATTGTAACAAACTATTGATACCTTCTACTATTCCCATATGCGTTATTCCAATTTCCTGTGTATGAATTAACGTTAAAAATATTTTGTTAAAGTTATATGTAAGAATAAAATAACTTTAATCGTTTAAAGAAAAAGATAATGTCATATGCAATTTACCTTGACAAATTTCAACTTCAGTTTTTCATCCATAGCATGATTTTTACAAACTTTGAATACATTACTGATTATATCTTCCGCAGAATATCCCATTTTCCAGAAATGATCCATTACCTAGTAAATATAATTTATAAATGAAATATACACACAAGATATATATCTTGATATATATATTAATTTCTTCAAATGTATATATTTTACCGTGCATGCTTTAGAAATATTTCCTTTTATACAATCATCCAGCATATCTTTGACAATTAAAGGATGAGGTTCATCGCACACTTTAAATACATTCTCGCCATTGACATGATTAAATCCATTATATGTAGATTGTAAATTATTCAAGGCTTGTCTCATGTCCCCTTGGGCTGTAAACACTATTGCTTCCATACCATCATCTGTGTAGGAAATCTACAAATGGTAAAGTAAAAGTAAATAACTTTATAAATCAACTTTAGATCATTTATCATTGTCTGCAATATTTTAGTTACATTTTCTTTTTCGCAAACTTGAAGAACTTTTGCTAAGATTTGGGCATCTGTTAACTTTCCATATCTCAACATGGCACATCGTGATTGTATAGGTTCAATAATCTCCTCTGTGTTATTACATGCAAGAGCAAATCTGGTTGTATGACTATAAATTTCCATTGTACGACGCAATGCCTGCTGCGCGCCATCAGTCATGCTATCCGCTTCGTCCAAAATAATGATTTTATGCTTTCCTTTAGGAAGATTTACCTGCAATGTGCAATTAAAACAATCATAAAAATATCTTTTTTTTTTAATGTATCACACAATATTCTATTCATTACCTTTTTTTGTGCAAACATTTTGATTTTATTCCTAACTACATCTATTCCTCTCTCATTTGAAGCATTTAATTCAAGTACAGCTTCTTTAAATGCTGGTCCCAATAGAATACGTGCCAAACACAAAATTGTAGTAGTTTTGCCGACTCCAGGTGGACCAGCAATAATAATATTTGGAGTATTTCCATGTTGAGCAAAAACAGCTAATCTGGATACAGTGTCTTCATTGCCAACAATGTCGGAGAATACTTGTGGCCGATATTTTTCGATCCTAGATACCAATAAATAATAATGACATAATATTTTAGTATGATCCGAAATATAAAATGGGATTTTTATGTAATCAATTAATATTGTTATAATATTATTATAAACATTGCTATTTCTTTTTGCAATTTTGCAAAAAGTGGTCAATATGTTCTATGTAATTCTCAGTAAGTAATGCTATAAATATTGATAATGCGCATCAATAGCAAGATTATTATACGTTACTCACACACATATTATCTATAAAAATATATATATATATATATATATAAACTAAATATTAATTCTATAAGATTGACAAACAAATTAATATCCGAGGATCTATTATATCCCACGTTTATTACTTTTCTAAATTTAAATGTCTATGTGTTTTGTACAGAGCCATATACAGTTTAGTCAAAGATTAAAGATAACCTAACTTTTCACAGTAATATACAATAATTATTAGAAATAAAACTTTTTTCGTGATAATAAGACATACCATGGTAAATTTTGAGATTTATTGTCTTTTTCTTTAATTTTCGCATCGCTGTTACTTGTAGATGGTAAAATCTCAGTCTCCATAGCTTCGTCAACATCATCCCCTGCCATCTTTAAATTTACGTCGGCTACGCGCGCAAACGTGGGAAAAATTTAAAGCAGTGCAGCCAATGCACGTTATAGGCTGTGGTCAAAAAGATGCTAGAAATGCTTCGAAGCGTTTGATTGACCAATTAGGGCAAAGAGAGTAAAGATTTCTTTATTCTAATTGGTTAATGCAATGCTTCGAAGTATCTCTAGCGTCTTCTCGACCGCAGCCATAATCATGGGACAAGAAAAATAATTGAAAAGAAACTAAACTGAACACAGACACAAGTAACGAATCTGATTGGCTACACTATCATATTGTCGATACAATTTCCGATAAAATTATTAAAAATAAATTAATATAATTAATATAATTATAGAATAGCTATTATAAGCTATTATATAAATCACATAAAACTATTAGAATTATTAATTATTATTAAAACAGAATTATATTATGAAATTATATATAATAAATACTTGACATTTAAATCGATATATTTAACATTTTATAAGCACAACCATAGTATTTATAAATACAAATACTTTCATATATATCTATATATACAATAGAGACAACCATATATATATTAGTTTTTTTTTTTTTTGCAGAAATAAATGAGATTATTATCTAGATAATCATAATATGATAGAAAAGTAAACGTCGATGTGATGTAGCTGCTTTAAATATTATTTTACGCGATTGATTTATCAATATACAGTCTTTAAAATGTACAGTACCATAGTAGATTTTTTAATTAGTGAAAATTTTAGCAAAACAGTCTTTTATATTGAAATAGCTGTAGCTCTGACAGCAGCGCTCAATAAAGGATTTGGATCTGGTTCTTCTGTCAAGATGTTAACTTTGGCCCATTCACGCTGTTTATTACTTTGTCGCAGTGCATCAATAACTGCTTGCACATACAGACCATCTTCAAACGTAGAAGCAGAAAACACTGGCTCTTTAATCCAACCTCTTTTATCTTCCACAGATTGAAAGGCTTCTTTTAATGCCGCGATCATTTTTCGAAGTCCTTTGATATAAGGCCTTGGAATAGAGTCAGCAATTGGCAAAGATATCCCATGTAAATCTTCTGTATCACGATACAAGATCTCCTCTTGTCCATTGCGACATCCATATAAATCTCCGCCACGCACAACCAAATGATTTCCACCACCACATATCAACACTTCTTGGGAAAGCTGACCTTGCAAGTGATTACTCAAAGTAGCTGTTACTAAGGTACCGCTGCTTAACTCCATTTGAAAACTACAGAAATCCGGCGATGTGATGTGCCTGATTCCATTAATGTATTTGGTTGTTTGAGTAAATGTTCTGACAACAGCATGCACTTTTGAAGCTCGTTGACCCATTAAATGAAAGATCAAATCAATAACATGACTGCCCACTAACGCCAAGATTCCTCCACCCATTGTATCATCACATAGCCAATCATATCCTTAAAAAATTGTACAAATATGTTTGGTTAAAATAAATGTTATTTCAGTATATAATTTATGTAAAAATATTTTTCTCTGATTCAGCAAATACATAAAAAATATAAAGAAAATATTCTGTAACTGAAATATTATTTAAATTATATCTTTGAGCTATATAGAAAAAAATATTTGTTGCAACTATCTTTCAGATAGTTATTTCCAAATTTAAGAGAAGGGAAAAAGAACTATTGATCATTTTTACAAAATATTTTATTTTAAGTTAGTTCAGTTTTGAAATTTTTCATTTTCGATTCTTTCTTTCTTTCATAAAAGCTGCATGATTTTAAAATATTTATAAAATCTACAAATATAAAAACGTAAAAATTTTTATTCTTTTCATACTTACCATTGTGTAATAAACTTCCCATATGTACTCTTACTTCTATAACTGTTACAGGTCCAACCAAATATCCATCTTCTAGTGCCTTTTTCATATGCACAAAGGCAGGCAAAAACCTTAAACTGTGATTAACTATGCTGATCAGCGAGGGATAATACTGCGCAGCTCGTACCATCTTCAAGGCCTCGCTTTGGCTCAAGCCTGCTGGTTTATCGCACACAACATGCTTACCTATACCCAGGGCTTTAACAGCGATTTGTGAATGCAAGCTCGGCGAGCACATGATAAAGATCAGATCTACGTCCTTCCTTAAAAGAACATCGTCTATGCGACTGGTGTGAAACGGTATTTCCAGATCGCTTGCCACTTTCGAAACTTCTGCCAATGTACGACCCCATATAGCTTCAATCCTGAAGCCCTTTTCTCTCAAAAAAGGTATAATGATCCTAACGATACTTCCTGTGCCAAACACTCCAATGCCAGGTAATGTCATTTTGAATGTATGAAAGTGCATATATTTGATGTTTCTCCTTTTTTTCTACAACTCAGATTTAACCTATAGCACAATACAAATAATTACAGTTTCTTTCTCTCTCTGTCTGTCGACGAGTAATAAAGATGTCTTGCTGATAATTTATTTCTAATTTTGCTCGCATATATTCAGCCACTGTGTTCTTTTCATTTTTAAGACTAAAGTCTAACGATCGCATTAGTAAACTGCTATTTATGACATATGTTATGACAGCAGCTAATGGATTTGACCACTGACCACAAAGAATGGAAAAACCTATTCGCGCGCATGATCCAATTCAAAAATAAACATACTTAAGGCTAATTAATACACACACACAGATGTGTATTAATGGGCTCTGTTGGGCACTGTGTTGATTTTTTTAAATACGCTTTTTTATACTTCAGTCATTCCTCTTCTTGCAGAATACAAATATATGTTTGTATATGTGTGTTATATATATATATATATATATTATATATACATACACATATATAATTCTCGTATATAACATTTCATGAATCATTCAGAATCATTGCGCTTATCGTTTTTCGCGATAATCTCGTGTATTCGTATTTATTTATCAATTCTTTATCAATTCTGATAAATATATATGTCTTTTATGTCATATTATTCTCTTCGCATATTATTCTTATCAATCTTAATATATATATAATAAAAAGATAAAATATATAAGTGAGCATGAATCATCGCGTTATTCACGTTTCTCTCATAAAAATCATAAATTTTATCGCACGATAGCAAGTTCTGCATTGTTTTCCCTCCGGATAGACTTGCATAACAGTATACGCATATATATAAATAATCAATGGCACTCTTGATATAATTAAACAATTTTTCTACGTATTATGCAAATTTGTCTAGACAGACAATTGATCATTATCGCGTTATTCTATATGCTGATGAAAAAATCGCTAATATATGGAGAAGAGTGGAATAATAAATAAAACTTGACACTTGAGGTTGTCAGTTTATATGTCTAGGTATATTCTTATATCGATGACACTGTATCATTACATTGATTAACCGAAGCTAACCGAAGCGTACCGAACGTGGCCGAACGTTGACTATCCCGACTATCCCCGCTTTTAATTCGCTCTTCGCCTCGCGCGAGTGTAGTGTGTGCGTGCTCACCGCATCCGGAATCCGAGTTCCTTTGAGTATACTTTCAATTCCTTAAAATATGTAAATAAACGCAGCGGTCAAGCGCTATAAATCGGCGCGGAGTGTTGACCTTCAACTCCTTCCCGCTAATTCGGCTCGTCATCACGATTTTTCCACCGCGATAAAAAATCGCGTATTATTAACCGACGTGAGCGATATGTCGGAGGTACGCAAGAGAACGATCGGCGATGCATCGGCAACGACGCGGGACGTTAGCGACGATCAGGTAATAAATGTAATTCCCTTGTGAGATTCCACGGCATCGAGAATGTTCAATCATTTTATGGTTGTTTATCGTTTTACGCGATTCCGAAGGCTATCGATCTGCGCCGTTGGCGCGTTAGGCGATTATTCGACGATGGGTATTTGACAGCTACCAATACTCATGTAGAATGTGTCCGTACACTATTTTTGAAGCCGCTTTGTGTGCACAGCGCAACGTATATATGTATATGCCGCATATGTCGTGCATAAATTAATGTGTATGTACACATATACGCGCGTGCAAACAAATAACGCATCTTCTGTCACACGAATTTCATTGTCCCCGCTTTTTCCGCTCGATTTGCAAACGTGATGCTTACTCGACACTTTTTAATTAAAAGATATTAAACGTACATTCTCGTCCGTTAAGATGATTTGATATCGTATATATATAATTCCCTTATATATATACATATGATGCAGTTTATAATTTAATGCAGCTCTGAATTATGACATATAATTTTATCTCTGTTTCATATTTTATTCTATATATTTTTTTTAAATTTAACATTAAAGAAATATAACGAATATTTTATGACATCTAAAGAATAACAGTTTACTCATGTGATATATTAATTTATGATAATACACTCTCTTATATATCTTTTATTTATTAAATACTTAGTACTTTTGAATTTTTTATTAATATGTATCATATATTATAAAACAAAGTTAATGCTATATTTACTTTAATTGTTTTTTTTTTTCTAAAGTGGTATTATAATATTTTTGAAACATGTTTTCCTTCAGAAAGAGGATATTGAATCCGAAGATGATGCAAAATTGGAGGTAGAAGAGTTAGGAAAAACTTTGCCTCAAGGAACTGATCATACTCCACATATTTTAAGTTCTGTTCTTTCTGGTCTTCCAGATCGGTAAAATACTATATATAATACTAATATTTATTTATTTCTTATTTACAATAAACTATTTCAATTCTTTATGAATAAATTGTTTTAATGATATTGCTTTCTCTTGCAGTTGGCGAAATTGGATAATTAGAACTATTTTCACTTGGTTTATGATAGCTGGATTTTGTCTTATTATTTATGGAGGTCCATTAGCATTGATGGTTACAGTAAGTTTTCTTTCAAATATTGTACAATTAGGTAAAATACAATAAATCTTTATATA